AGAGCGCCTAAGAGCCTTCCCGAGAATGCCCCGAGATACCAAAACCGTTGTTCATTATGGTTTTAAATGTTTTGGGGTTCTCCACTTTTCGATCTTCAATCGCTTCAATACGTCCAAACAGGCCCCCAAGACCATCCCGAGACGGCCTCAGAGGCCCCCGAAAGCCGCAAGACGGCCCGAGAGGGCCCCAAGACGGCCCAAGACGGCCCGAGGGCCCGAGAGGGGGAACACGAACCGAAAATCTGAGAAAGAGGCGCCCAGGAAGCCCCAAGACGTCCCCAACAGGCCCCAAGAGGCCCTCAAGAGGCCCCAAGAGTCCTCAAAACAGTCCACAAGAGGCTTTGAAACTGCCATCAGGAGGCCCCCGAGAGGCCTCGACGAGACCCCAACGCACATCCAAGAGCCCTCAGACCCACAACCCAGGCACGGTGGCAGAATGGACCGAAGGCCACTAGAGCTGCCCCCCCTGCTGATTTATCACAGGGTGCTTGGCGCGCTAGACTTCGTACGATTTGGTTTTGGTTCTTTTCCGAAAGAGCTCCCACTGGGGCTTCGGCCCGTCCCGACAGCCATCCGAAAGGTCCCAAACGAGCACAACGCGCACAGACAAAAACTCCAGGACGGCTCAAGATGCCTACCAAGATTGTCACATTGGCCCAAGATGGCCTCCAATAGGGGGCAAACAAACCTACCTCGCTTTTGACCACCCTCGCTTCCAAGAGATACCAAGCGATGCCAAATTGCAGCCTGTACTGGTCAGGCCGCTTGACGAGGAGGCGCGTGGTATGACTTGGTTTTGCCTGGAAGCGAAAGCGGGGTAGGTAATTCACGCTCTGATCCAAGATGGTCCAAGTTGCCTCCAAGTTCGACGAAGGAGCCGCCAAAACGCCCAGGATGGCTCCAAGATGCCTCCGAGCCCGCCCAAGATGGCCTCCAGCGTGGCCCCAGACGGCCCAAAAAGAGGCCCCCAAGCCGCCCCCAGGACGTCCCTCCGGGAGGGCCCGAGGACGCCAAGAGCATTAGTGCTCCCAAGGTCTGCGGAGGAAGGAGGCATTTGCTTCTGCGCGGCCTTCCGACAGCCCAAGACGGCCCCAAGAGGCACCCGAGATCGCCCCGAGATGGCCCCAAGAGTCCTCCAAGAGGACCTCGTGACGGCCCAAGAAGCCTCCAGGACGGATCCAAGGGGGCCCCAAGTCGGCCCAAGAGGCCTCCAAGACGGCCCCAAGACGGCCCTAAAGCGCCCCAAGAGGGCCCCAAGTCGGTCCAGAGATGCATCCAAGACGGCGTCCGACGGCGTCAGACGGGCCACGAGCCCACCAAGACGGGCCAAGATGGCTCTGAGATGGCCCAAGACGGCCCCCATGAGGCTTCGAAGACGGCCCAAGATGCCTCCAAGAGGGCCTCCAGGAAGGCCCGGAAAGGCCAACATCATTGATGTGCCATCCATTTGCGAAGGTTTTTGGCATTTGATTAGTTTCGGCCCCCCGATGGCCAGAGGCGGCCCAAGAGCCCCAAAAAACAGCCCATGAGGCCTCCAAGATGGCCCCAGAACGGCCCAGGGGCCCCTCAAGACGGCCCCAAGAGGGCACCAAGACGGCCCAAGAGGCCTCCAAGACGGCCTCAAGAGGGTCCCCAAGACGGCCCTGAAGCGCCCCAAGAGGGCTCCATGTCGGTCCAGAGAGGCATCCAAGACGGCTCCCGACAGCGTCAGACGGGCCAGGGACGCCCTAAGACGGCCCAAGAGGCCCCAGAGAAGCCCCCCAAGGCCCCCAAGAAGCCCTAGGAGGCCCCCAAGATGCCTCCAAGAAGCTCCCATGAAGCTGCCAGGAGACCCTAAGAGGGCCCCCAGAGGCTCCCAATATGCCCCCTCCTTGTTCCTCCTCCTCCTCCTCCTCCTCCTCCTCCTCCTCCTCCTCGTCATCCTCCTCCTGATCTTTCCCGCCATCCTCCCCCAAGTGATCCCTGAAGGGGTTCAACAGCGGCTGGGGGAGCACATGGTCCGATAGCTTGGAAGAGCTCTTGCCACAACGCACGGACACATTGGCGATTCCAACAGGCAGAGGGGGCGGTGGTGATTCGCGGTACGCCGTAGGCGTCTTCGATCCGCCGCCCCCTGTTGATTTATTACAGGGGTGCCAGGTGTGCTCAATGTCTGATTGTTCTTGGTTCGTTTCAAAAAGCTTCCCCTGGGAATTCGGCCAAGCATGGCCCAGCGCGCCAGCCACCCAGATAGCAGCCCAAACGTCATCTCCCATTGCCCAAACCGCCTCCAAGACGGCCAAGATGGCCCAAGGTGGCCTCTGAGACGGCCAAGATGGCCTTCAAGTTCGCCCAAGATGGTCCAAGATGGCCTCCAAGACTGTCCAAAAGAGTCCAAGATGCCTTCAAGTTCAATTTCAAATTCGCCCAAGAAGCCTTTCAAGACGGCCCAAGACGGCCCCAGGGGCCCCAAAGAGGCCTCCAAGACGGCTCACGAGGCCTCCAAAAGGTCCTCCAGGAGGGCCCGAAGAAGCAAACATCTCTGATGTTCCTGAAGTTGTTGACGAAAGTTTGCCCGTTGCTGATTTTCGGCCTCCCGACGGCCCAAGACGGCCCAAGAGGCCCCAAACATCGCCCCTATATGGCCCCAACGGCCTCCAAGATGACCCCAGGACGGCCCCAGAGGTCCCCAAGACGGTCCCAAGAGGGCCTCCAAGACAGCCCTGAAGCGTCCCAAGGGAGCCCCAAGTCGGTCCAGAGAGGCATCCAAGACGGCTACCGACAGCGTCAGACTGGCCAGGAACGCCCTAAGACGGCCCAAGGGACCCCAGAGAAGCTCCAACAGGCCCTCAAGAGACCCAAGGAGGCTTCCAAGAGGCCTCCAAAAGGCCCGCAGGCCCGCAGGATTCTCTCAGGAGGCTTCAAATATCCTCCTCCTCCTCCTCCTCCTCCTCCTCCTCCTCCTCCATCTCCTCCTCCTCCTCCTCCTCCTCCTCCTCCTCCTCCTCCTCCTCCTCCTCCTCCTCCTCCTCCTCCTCCCCCTCAGCCTGCTCAGCCTCCTCTTCCTCCTCATCCTCCTGTCCTGCTCCTCCTCCTCCTCCTCCTCCTCCTTCTCCTTCTCCTTCTCCTTATCCTCCTCTCTGATTGTTCTCCCCTCTCCTCCGCTTCTTTCTCCCCGCGTGTTCCCCGAAGGGTTTCCACAACGGCTGGGGGAACACATGGTCCGATAGCTTGGCAGAGCTATGGCCACAGCGTTCGGCTACATGGCGGCGGCGGTGATTCGCCGTAGGCGTCTTCGATAAGAAGAGGGCCACGGAATCCGGTGAGATACCGTGGCCCCGGCCATTAGGTCCACCACACCCTGGTCATCACCCCCTCTTGGCCGCTCCCGACCCCAGCAACTGATTCCCCATACAGTGCCAGAAGTCGCCCTCACCGCCCACGAAAGTGAGCCCTGCGACGAGACTGCCCGCCGCCATCGCGCGAGGCAGGGCAGAGGGAGTGGGGTCCGCCGCCGAGGTGAGGGCGAGGACAAAGGGCCGGCCGGTCGGTCGACAAGGGGGGGGGGGCTTGGCACTCCGCCTCCTCCTCCGCCTCCTCCTCCTCCTCCCTTCCTCCCGTCCTCCTCTGTACTCCCTCCTGCTGCTCCTCCCCCTCCTACTCCCCCTCCTCCTCCACCTCCTCCTCTACCTCCTCCTCCTCCTCCTCCTCCTCCTCCTCCTCCTCCTCCTCCTACTCCTCCTCCTCCTTCCCCATTTCACTTCCTTATAACTACCTCCTCCCTGTGGCACCTCAGAACGTGTCGGCCACCATGTATGATCCTGAGGCGCAAAGGATGCAAACGCTTCGCGGATGGAGGGCGGGTCCTTCTCAAAGCGTGGCTCTCGCCGTCGCGCCGCGCACAGTCGTCTCAACACGTTGCAAGAACTTCACGGGTGGAAAGCGGGCCCTTTTCAAATGTGGCGCTCGCCGGAGCGCCGCTCACAATCGTCTCAACAAGTTGCAAGAGCTTCACGGATGGAGGGTGGCTCCTTTTCAAAATGTGGTTCTCGTCTGAGCGGCGCGCACCTTCGTCTTCAAACGTTTAAGCAGCGTCACGTCACCTATTCTTATGGCTGGCGTCTCAGAAAGTGTGCTCTGGCGCGATTTCGGATTGCCCGAATGCGACAGCCACGTTGATTTGCGGTGTTGTCCCATCAATGGCGTTCTGGCACGATTCTGGATCGTCAGGACGTAACAGTAACGTTGACTCGCGTCGTTGAAGTCTCAGAACTGGTGCCAGTTTCAGACGGTTGTTTTCCGACGGGGCACTTCCCCCAGTCAAAAAAAATTGTAGGGACCTACAAAGGGGGACCTTGGAAGAAGAGTTAAGTGCAACATCGTTGCAGAGTTTTAGCTTACACTGGTCCTCCTCCTCCTCCTCCTCCTCATCATCATCATCATCATCAGCAGCAGCAGCAGTATCATCATCATCATCATTCTCAGCCGCATCATCATCATCAACAACATCAGCATCAGCATCAGCATCAGCATCAGCATCAGCATCAGCATCAGCATCAGCATCATCATCATCATCAGCAGCATCATCATCATCATCGTCGTCGTCGTCATCATCATCAGCATCATCACCATAATGGTAAGCATCATCCCGTCATCCTCCACACTCCCTCCTCCTCATCCACTTTTCCCCCTCCTCCCTTCCCCATCCATACTCCTGCTTCCTCCGCCTCATCTTTATCCTCCTCGTCCTCGTCCTCGTCCTCCTCCTCCTCATCATCATCCTCATCCTCCGTCTCCTCCTGCTGCTCCTGCTCCTGCTCCTGCTCCTGCTCCTCCTCATCCTCATCCTCATCCTCCTCCCCCTCCTCCTCCTCCTCCTCCTCCTCCTCCTCGTTCTCCTCCTCCTCCTCCTCCTCCGCCTCCTCCTCCTCCTCCTCCTCCTCCTCCTCCTCCTCCTCCTCCGCGCAACTCCACCAGTCGCTCGCAGAGCACGATGCCTCCACTTGTTCCATCTAACTGAATTAGACCCCGCGCTGCAACCGCCCCCTGGGCCTGCCGCCAGCATGCCTACGGCCCGCACTCGAAGGACAAGCGCTTGGGATGTGTGTTTTAAGTACCGCGCTGCATGAAACAGACCGGCCAGGAGAGCACTCAGCCGAGCCCCACAGGGCAGCACCAGTAAGCTGTAAGCTCACATGGCCTCGATCCGCACGCGGAACATACGGATGCCACTCGCTGGATACACATGAGGCAGCCCGGCCTACACGGTCTCTGAAGGGCCGGCCAAGGCATCATCCAGCCACGTGCGTATCCAGCTTTCGCCCAGGCCGGCTGCGTCATGCGTGTCCAGCTCCGTGGTGGCAGGCCACGGCGAGCAGATGAGCACTAAGGAGTGGGATGCAGGGGCTCGGTCTGCGCCTCGCCAGCACTCCAACCACCAGAAAAGGCCCGCCATTATGATTATGTGTGCACTTCCAGCAGACCGCCCGCCGCCCTCCCCATCTTACGTGCCCTCGTTCTGGAAGGAGCTATCATGTGTCGCATCTCGGGCATGGACACGAGACCAGCCCGGAACATCTGAGGCGGCAGCAGCAAAGCCGACAGACCCCTGGCGCCGCGACTTTTCCGCGTCGCGGGCACCTGGACCTTCCGACGCCTTCTCCTGGGGCTGGCTGTGCTTCTTGAGCCGTTTTATGCTAGCCCCAGGGCCCAGCAAGGCCCGAACCCCCTGGAGCCCCAAACTGAAAGAACTGAACAGAAAACATGTTACTTTTTTGCGCGACACGAGGGTGTCTGGGGGCCCAGGGGTCGAAAGTGAGCCCCTGGACCCATCCTGGCCAGAACTTCAAAAGGGACCCAGCCGTGGCGGCGGAAAACCTCCCAGCGGCCCGAGGGAGGCGGCAAGCGCCAAGGAAACCTCAACCCTCCGATCCTTCGACGAGACTTCGCCGGGCCTCCCCCGCCGGCGAGCCTCCCGTCCGCCCCCTTGGCGAGCCGATGTCTTGTTTTGTTCAGCACGGGGTCCCCGCGGAGTCCTCCTCCTCCTCCTCCTCCTTCTCCTCCTCCGCCTCCTCCTCCTCCTCCTCCTCCTCCTCCTCCTCCTCCTCCTCCTCCTCCTCCTCCTCCCCCTCCTCCAAGATACCCAGGGCCTGCTTCTCTTCCTGCGCTTCGCTCGGACGGTCTCGGGGCCGGGCGAGGGCCTAAAAGAAACCTCCTGGCGTGTTGTTTGGATCACGGCGCGAGGACGCCTGGGATCCGGGGGTGCTCATCCCAGGGCATGTTGCGGCCAGCATTCCAAGGGAAATCCGGCCGTGGCGCGGAGGGCGCTCCAGAAGCAGAGGGACAAAAAACGGGATGATCATCACTTCTCTGAGGTCCGCGCGGATGTCTCGGATCGGCGCTGGAACTCCACGCGGACATCCGAGAAAGGATGTTGATGCCGCTGCGTGTTCTGCGAAAGAGGCCCGAAAAGGACCAACACACACTCGCAACAGTATGTAGCAACTCGCGGGAGCCTCCCATGCCATCTTGCTGGCTCTGGTGAACCGACGCCAACCGACGCCACCGACGCGAATCGGCGCTCGTCGACGCTAAATCTGCGCATCCTCGTCGATTACGCTAGCGCACGCTAACGTCGGGGAGACGGAAGACTCGGGCTCAGGGACTTGGGCTGGCCTGACAGGGGCCATCATGAAAGTGACGAGACCTGGTCTGACATTTGGACGCGAGTTCCCGCTGCAGACACCCCACGAGCACTGGACCGTCAAACTCCAGGACGCGCTCGTCCAAAAAAGCATCGGCAAGCCCCAGTTCCAGCGCACTCGAGCCTTACGCTCGGGTCGGGCGAAAGGGGGGGATAGCAAAGGGGGGGTTTGAGAATCAGCTCACGTAGCTGATTTTTCCGGCGCCTCCCAGCGCCGGAGGAGACTATGTATCGAGGAATGGGCCCCTCGGTGAGGCCGAAACCAGCTGCATGCAGCAAATTTCGTAACCCCCCCTTTCCCAATCCCCCCCTTTCGTCCGGCCCGATACGCGTCCCCGATAGTGCGAGGACATGCAGGGCCCGCGTGCCCGCCTGCGGCCGGCAGCATCGGCTGTTCGCGAGTCGATCGGCTCGGCCAGCATGGCCAGCACGGTCGGCACCCGCCCCGCCCGCGCGCAGACGCACGAGCCCCCCCCCGCCCCCCCCCCTCCTCCTCCTCCTCCTCCTCCTCCTCCTCCTCCTCCTCCTCCGCCTCCTCCTCCTCCTCCTCCTCCTCCTCCTCCTCTCCTCCTCCTCCTCCTCCTCCTCCTCCTCCTCCTCCTCCTCCTCCTCCTCTCCCTCCCCCTCCTCCTCCCCCTCCTCCTCTTCCTCCCCCTCCTCCTCCTCCTCGGGCTCGGCCGCCGCCGCCGCTCCGGATGGGTTCTCGGAGGAGAGCCCGCGTGCCCGCCCGTGGCCGCTCGCAGCTGGCACGGACAGCCGGAAGACGACCAAGGCCGAGTGAGCCGCAGGAGCCGAGGCAAGCGGCGAGGGTGCTACGGCGCATGCGGTTGGCTATGAAGGAACCCCGACCCCTTTGGCAGGGGATCTGAGTTAGGATGGTCAAACATCTTAGGGGCAGGGGGTCTTTTTCTGCGGATGTCTCAAACCAAGGCGCCCAGAATTAGCATCCCTGATGCAACGACGGGAACCCAAGTGAGGACACGTCTTCACTATGCTACTAGGGTTAGGGGTTCTTTAATCCTCGATGAGCATGAGCGACGTGCCCGTTCACGGCGACACGGTGGATCGAAAGCCAACGAACCGAGGCAACCGAAGAGGGTGCTGCGCTACAGGCGCCGCGCAAGAAACGGGCCGACCGAGCCGATCGCTCCCGACCGACTGCGACACGGTTGGCTGTTCGCGATTCGATCGGTCCGACTGTGTCGGAGTCGGTCGGGATCGATCGGATCGGTCGTTCTTGCGTGGCTCCTGCATCGTACCACCCATTTGCTACGGCTCATTCGGTTCATTCGGCTTGGTCGGCTTTCGGGTCGGCTTTAGGTTACCATGCTGGACGAGCAGAGTGGACCGAATGAGTCGAAGCAACGACTGGTCCTCGTGCGGCATCCCGTCGCCAAGGCTGGGTCCGCCTCCAAAGTTTGGCCTTGACCCCCGAATCCAGACACCTTCGGAGCTGGAAGGTTCTTCCCATGTTCGGCAATCAAACGAAATCGGCGCGCCCACAATTAAGGGAAAGCTTCATATTGCATTGGCACATTGCGTGATATTGCTTGGCAATGCTTGACATTACGTCGCACTGCTTGGCATTGCTTGGCGTTGCGTGGCATTACTTTACATTGCTTGGAATAGCTTGGCGTTGCTAGGCATTGCGAGGCGAGGCATTAAGGAACCAAGACCAAGGATCCAAGAAAACAAGACGAGGGAACCAAGGAACCAAAACCAAGGTACCGAAAGGACCCAAGGAACCAAGACCAAGGAACCAAGATAACAAGACGAAGGAACCAAGGAATCAAAACCAAGGTACCTAAAAGAGCCAAAGAACCAAGACCAAGGAAGCAAAACCAAGGTACCAAAGTTCCAAGGTGCCATGACCAAGGCATCAAGGAACCAAGACCAAGGAACCACGGAACCATGGAACTACAAAACCAAGGGACCAAGGAACCAAGGGACCAAGGAACCCGAGGAAGACGGCGAGGACCCCAAGCCCCTCGGAAGGCCGGCCGGCGCAGGCGCCGCAACCACCGGCTCTTCAAAAACGTATGGGAGCCCCTGAAGCAAAGATCAAGCGAACGGCGATGTTGGGAAAATGGTGTTTGCGACGCGTGGAAAAAGACGGACAAGCCTTGCCTACACTTCGGTGGGCCAGGAAACACCCCCTACAATACCTAAACCTACATCGCCGTTACCTACATCGCCGTTGGCGTGTCTAACAAATTTCTGAAAACCTAACGCCCGAAGATTTCGTCATCTTCGGCAATCAAAAAAACGACTCGGGATGAAGCCGGTCGGCGGGACCTTCGGGGCCCACGTTTTAGAAAAACGACGTCGGGGATCCGGATCATCTCTTTCCTCGTCGTTGTCATTCCAGAGAGCTGGGACAGGCACATGCCAGACATATGTTCGAAAGGCTGGCGGGGTCTCAAAACTCGAAGGATGTTCGCACCCAAGCGAGCCTCTGCAGGGGGTGTCCGATACTCCCACGTCGATTGGAATCGCAGGGGTAGGTCCCGAGTGAAGAGAACCCCACCTGCCCCCTTAGAAATCGTGGGGTGGTGGGGTAGGGTTCGCATGTGGCCTCCTAGTAGGGTTCACAGGTGGTCGCAGATGGGGAGCGGTGGCGCCAGCACGGCAGCCTCGCCCGGCCGAAGCCGAGGCGACATCCCCGGCGGACCTCCTGGAGAAAAGGAGCAGGACCTTCTTTCACACGAGCTCGGGCCACTGCCGCAAGAGGTCTATGCTGTCGCCAGCCAAGCGTGTCTTTGAGATAGGGTCGGTCGGAGGGGGTCGAGTTCTGTGGCTACTCATGGGAGCCTCCCATGCCTTCTGGCTGGCTCTTGTGAATCGGCGCTGCTCGGCGCAAGTCGACGCTCGACCGACGCGACTCGACGCTAAATCGGCGCTGTCTCACCGATTGCCAAACGCCAGCGCACGCGAATGCCTCTCAAGACGGAGCTGCGAGGACACGCAAGGCTCCCGTGAGTTGCTGCCGAAGGCGAGGGAGGCGGGCACGCGGTGCCACGGGCATCGCGCAAAGCGGCGCGGCTACCCAGCCTACTCCGGAGGTCACGGGCCGACCTGGTCGGCCTGGGGACTCCCATCACGGAAGCTGGAGGCATGCCCGCGCCACAGGTGCGGTCGGCCGCTGACACTGTGCGCCCACCCCGGCAGGACGCCCCAGGCCAGGGGAAGAGGGTGCGGAGGAGGAGGGTGCGAAGCCCAGGCGACCGGAGTCGGTGCCTAGAGCTCCTCGCTGTGCTTGCTCTTGGCCACCTGCTTGAAGACGTTGAGGCGCTGCTTGACCCACTGCTTCGCCTCGGGCGACGCCAACTATCCACCTACGCCCATCCTGGCTTGGCCAAACCTGGGCCCAGAAATACCTAAGCCTGAGGGTAATATGGCCACGTAACAGGTGGACCTTTACCGTTCCTGGGCCCAGTAATTGGCCTGGCCAGGATCGGTGTGGGTGGATAGTTGGTGTTCCCGATCGCGTCTGGCTTCATGTCGCCACCCACCATCTTAGACAGGCGGGTGTGCTGTTTCTTGATCTCGTCAAGGGGCTTCTCGGCCCACTTGGCGATGAAGTCCTTCTGCTTGTCGGTGCAGCCCTTGCTGGTGTCCTCGATGCTGCAGAGGGTCGCGTACTCTTCCACCAACTGCTGCATGTATTCTGTCTTTGGGCCGAGCTCGTCGCACATGGCCTGGCTCGTCTTTTTCTCGTATGCCTTCCCCCCATACCCCGTCTCTTTGTTGAAAATGCGGACTGTAGGCCAGCCCCCAGCGCCAGGGCTCTGGTCAACCCCGTGGATCTTCCGGACCTGGTTCTTGGAGAGGCACACGTCCCCGAAGGCGACATCAGGATTGCCCTTGAATTTGGCAGCGACTTCATTCCAGGCCGGGGCCTGCTTGACTCATCAGCCTCAGCCCTCTGAGGCGATCCACCGTATGAGCGCCGTCTTGCCGGCGTCCACCTTCTCCTGATTGGCTACACGTAAAGAAGCCCTGGGCAAGAGTGAACTTTGGTGCGCGGCTTGGGGGGCCGCGTCGCGCGTGGGGGTGAAAATCCAAGCGCGCAAGCCAGTGCTGGGGTGGCCCGTGTGGGCTCGCACCAAAGGTCACTCTGGCGAAGGTCACTCTTACGCGCAGCCGACCTGTACCCAGGCGTCTGCGGTGTCCGCCGTGAGCTCTGTGGAGTGCTCCCAATGGTCGTCTGGGTAGATGCCGGCATTTGCGACCGTGGCCGTGAGAAGCACGCCCACGATGGTGCTGAGCACCGCCATCCTCGTGGTAGCGGCCACACCCAGGCGCGCTCGCAGAGGCCGTCCGAATCCACTGGCAGACTGAAGGCTAGTGACAAAAAGCTCTGAGCCGAGACGGCTCGAGCCAGCACGGCGTGCGAGGGAGCACGGAAATGGCGCTCGCCCGAAGGGGACCTGCCTGAAACTCCTGTGGAATCTCATGAGCGGCGAACGTGTCCGTTAGCGCACGCTAATGCACTCTGAAGACGGGACTGCGAGGACACACACGGATCCCGTCGGTTGCTACCGAAGGAGGCTTCCCCCACGTCTTCGCCTCGTGGGTGAATCACGGCAGAGGATTTTGTGGCAGTCTTCGGCCTCTGGGGGCCCTCGCCAGGACCCTGGGGGCCGTCAGAAGGCAACTCGGGATGCAAAGCTGTTCTGGGGAAAATGGGTACAGCCCTCATACAGAGCACTCATTTGTAATTCCGGTCATTTGTAATTCCGGTCATTTCCAATTCCGGCCACGAATTGCAAATGAGAGGTGCCGACGGGAAGGCATGTGCTCAAGCGCGACGCCCAACGTGTCTCCAAAGCGTCAGGGCGCAGCTTCTGCTTACGCTCGTAAAAGATCAAACTAATAACGGCAACAGCAACGTCGTCGCCGTTCCGTGTGACACGCAGGATTTGCGTGTCACGTCTACGCGACACGCAAATCCTGCGTGTCGCGTCGCCCGGCCGCCCCGAGCGCGTTCCGGGTGACACGCAGGATTTGCGTACCACGTTTACTTACGCGACGACGCCCCGAGCGCGTTCCGTGTGACGTGACACGCAGCATTTGCGTGTCGCGTAGTCGACGTGACACGCAAATCCTGCGTGTCACGTCAGTCTGAAGCCTTAAGGCCGCCGAGTGACTGACACGCAGGCTTCGCGTGTCGCCCCCGGTTGTGCCTACCCGTCAGACTCCCTGGATTGACGTCCCGCTCGGGACCGTTCCCCACCCGTTCCTATTCGATCTGTTGGGAACGCTTTACGCGCCATTTTGGCTGCGCTCGGCTTCCTCGGTGCCTGTTGTCAGACTCCCTGGATGCGCCGTTGCATGTTCCTTTCAGGGGCTGCCCTGCAGACTCCCTGGATATGCACGCTTTGGCTCAGACGCCCTGGGTCGCTGCTGCCTGCCGCCTGACCGCGGCCCCGCGCGCGCCCGCCCCCCTTGTCGCGGCCGCAGCCCGACCGTGACCGCCTGCCGCTGGCGCTTCCGCCTGCCGCTGTAAAAGAAAAGTGTCGCCCACGCCACGGTCCCCGGCCCTTGGCCCCCTCCTGCTGGGGCCCGCGTGACACGCAGATTCCGCGTGTCCCCACACCGGCCCCCAGGACCCCTGGCGTGCGACACGCAGATTTGGCGTGTCCGCCCCCCTGGCGGGGCCCGCGTGACACGCAGATTCTGCGTGTCCCCACCCCGGCCCCCGGACCCCAGGCGTGCGACACGCAGATTTTGGGCCCGCGTGACACGCAGATTCCGCGTGTCCCCACCCTGGCCCCCAGGACCCCTGGCGTGCGACACGCAGATTTTGCGTGTCCGCCCCCCTGGCGGGGCCCGCGTGACACGCAGATTCTGCGTGTCCCCACCCCGGCCCCCGGACCCCCAGCGCGCGACACGCAGATTTTGGGCCCGCGTGACACGCAGATTCCGCGTGTCCCCACCCCCCGGCCCCCAGGACCCCTGGCGTGCGACACGCAGATTTTGCGTGTCCGCCCCCCTGGCGGGGCCCGCGTGACACGCAGATTCTGCGTGTCCCCACCCCGGCCCCCGGACCCCCGGCGTGCGACACGCAGATTTTGGGCCCGCGTGACACGCAGATTCTGCGTGTCCCCACCCCGGCCCCCAGGACCCCTGGCGTGCGACACGCAGATTTTGCGTGTCCGCCCCCCTGGCGGGGCCCGCGTGACACGCAGATTCTGCGTGTCCCCACCCCGGCCCCCGGACCCCCGGCGTGCGACACGCAGATTTTGGGCCCGCGTGACACGCAGATTCCGCGTGTCCCCACCCCGGCCCCCAGGACCCCTGGCGTGCGACACGCAGATTTTGCGTGTCCGCCCCCCTGGCGGGGCCCGCGTGACACGCAGATTCTGCGTGTGCCCCCGGACCCCCAGCGCGCGACAGGCAGATTTTGGGCCCGCGTGACACGCAGATTCCGCGTGTCCTCACCCCGGCCCCCAGGACCCCTGGCGTGCAACACGCAGTGACACGCAGATTCCGCGTGTCCCCAGGACCCCTGGCGTGCGACACGCAAATTTTGCGTGACCGCCCCCCTGACGGGGCCCGCGTGACACGCAGATTCTTCGTGTCCCCGCCCCGGCCCCCGGACCCCAGGCGTGCGACACGCAGATTTTGGGCCCCCGTGACACGCAGATTCCGCGTGTCCCCACCCCGGCCCCCAGGACCCCTGGCGTGCGACACGCAGATTTTGCGTGTCCGCCCCCCTGGCGGGGCCCGCGTGACACGCAGATTCTGCGTGTCCCCACCCTGGCCCCCGGACCCCCAGCGTGCGACGCGCAGATTTTGGGCCCGCGTGACACGCAGATTCCGCGTGTCCCCACCCCGGCCCCCAGGACCCCTGGCGTGCGACACGCAGATTTTGCGTGTCCGCCCCCCTGGCGGGGCCCGCGTGACACGCAGATTCTGCGTGTCCCCACCCCGGCCACCCAGACCCCCGGCGTGCGACACGCAGATTTGGCGTGTCCGCCCCCCTGGCGGGGCCCGCGTGACACGCAGATTCCGCGTGTCCCCGCCCCGGCCCCCAGGACCCCTGGCGTGCGACACGCAGATTTTGGGCCCGCGTGACACGCAGATTCCGCGTGTCCCCACCCTGGCCCCCAGGACCCCTGGCGTGCGACATGCAGATTTTGCGTGTCCGCCCCCCTGGCGGGGCCCGCGTGACACGCAGATTCTGCGTGTCCCCACCCCGGCCTCCGGACCCCCAGCGCGCGACAGGCAGATTTTGGGCCCGCGTGACACGCAGATTCCGCGTGTTCCCACCCCGGGCCCCCAGGACCCCTGGCGTGCGACACGCAAATTTTGCGTGACCGCCCCCCTGGCGGGGCCCGCGTGACACGCAGATTCTGCGTGTCCCCAACCCGGCCCCCAGACCCCCGGCGTGCGACACGCAGATTGTGCGTGTCCGCCCGCCTGATTCCGCGTGTCCCCGCCCCAGGCGCGCTCCGTGTGACACGCAGATTTTGCGTGTCACGTGTACTCGACACGCAGGATTTGCGTGTCACGTCTACGCGTACCCGATCGAGGATGGCGCGCCCCAGATCCAGACTCGGGCGCGCGCTCGAATGCATTTGCCCTGGGGCCTCCGGGGCCTAACAAGCGCGTTCATTTCTAATTCCGGTCATTTGCAATTCCGGCCACGAATTAGAGATGAAGCGCGCCGAAGGGGCGGCGGAGGCCACGTGCAGCACACGAATTAGAAATGAGCACTCTGTAGGGGTATACGTCATGAAGTTGTCATGGCAAAGAACCCAACTATGTGAGCACCACACTGTGAACATCGCATTCAGTGAGGCTCCCCGAGGGGCCACGAAACGTGCGAGGGGTGTGCCGAAACGGGCGGGGCAACCACAGGCGAACGTCGCCACTGGGGCCGTGGGTGGAGCTCCCTACGGGGGGCACGACCCTTAGAAGGTTTGCGAAACAGGCGTGACGCACACATGCGAACGTCGCCACTGGGGCCTTAGCTGGAGCCGAGCTCCCCATGGGGCCACGGAGCGTGTAGGTGGCGTGTCGAAACGAGCCTGACGTCCGCACGTGAACGTCGCCACTGGGGCCTTAGCTGGAGCTCCCTATGAGTCCACGAAACATGTGAGCGGTGTGCCGAAGCGAGCGTGACGCCGAAATGCGAACATGATGCTGATGGTGATGATAGTGATCGTAATGGTGATGGACAGGTGATAATGATCATGCTGGTGACGATGCTGGTGACGATGATGACAATGATGATGATGATGATGATGATGATGATGATGATGATGATGATCATGATGATGATGACGATGATGATGATGATGGTGATGATGGTGATGATGATGGTGATGATGATACAATGATGATGATGCTGATGATGGCTATGATGACAATGATGGTGATCATGATAATGCTGATGATGGTGACGATGGTGATGATGACAGAAAGATGATGATAATGCTGGTTATGATGACAATGATGGTGATGATGATGATGATGATGTTGATGATGATGATGATGATGATCATGATGAGGATGATGATGATGAGGATGATGATGATGATGATGCAGATGATGGCGATGGTGATGGTGAGGATGAGGATGAGGATGAGGAGGAGGAGGAGAAGGAGGAGGAGGAGGAGGAGGGTGATTGTGAAAAGGTGAGGACGGGAGGAGGATGAGGAGGCGGATGAGAAAGAGGAGGGGAGCAGTCAGGACTGAGTGGGGGTGCGGGGCGCCGCCTTGTCAAATCGAGGACACAGCATCAAGGATAGATTGGAACAAAAGCGGGAACGACCGTGTAGAGACAATAGCTGTCCTCGGTTAGAACCATATAGCCACATGAGATTTGGGAAGAAACTGTTCAGCGTCCTCTCGGCACACCGGAAGGTGCCAGTCTCCTCGTCACGGGTCTCTCCGTGGCGACAGCGCAGAAGAGGGAGCCCATTGAAAGGCAAAGCATGAGGGAGCACTGCCTGTGATAGCAACGGCCGCCAGCAGCCCAGCCCCTTTGAAAGAAACGGCTCCTCGTCCACACAGCCGATCGAAGTGCCCGTCGAGCTGTTGGGGCAGAAGTCGTACGAGACCCGGGAGGCGATCGACTGCGCCATTCCTGAGGCAGCCCGTCCCCTCGACCTCCCTTCGAGGAACGATGAGGGAGACCCGCTGAAGGAGAAACCTCGAGCTTGAACCGGCGATGCATCGCCGATAGGTCGGCGACAGGCCCCCGATAGCGAGAGCGCACGTTCCTGGGCGGGGTGGGACATCAGGCCCCCGTCGGCGACGAATTGGCGACTGGGGGCCGATGCGTCCCGCCCCCGAGCCGACAATTTTTGATCCGCGGGGCGAGATCTGAGAGCGAACCTCTTCCGCTAAAAGCTAGGCGGGCTACGCACAGCTCGGGTCGGGCGAAAGGGGGGGATAGCAAAGGGGGGGTTTGAGAATCAGCTCACGTAGCTGATTTTCCCGGCGCCTCCCGGCGCCGGAGGCGGCTATGTATCGAGGAATGGGCCCCTCGGTGAGGCCGAAACCAGCTGCATGCAGCAAATTTCGTAACACCCCCTTTCCCAATCCCCCCCTTTCGCCCGACCCGAACAGCTCTAATTGGGGAGACAGGGCACAGGAGGGCGGGGCCTCAGGCGGCCGGAGCGGGCGGGGCCCGGGGACAAGCCCCCGAGCCTACAGTCACCCCGCAGAATGAAGACGCACGGGAAGGGTGCAAGGGCCTCGGAGGGCCACATGGACACTTTGCGAGCGGGGCGCGGCCAGCGCATGCGGCCAAGGATGGGCCGAAGGGGGAGCACGCAGGGGCAACCTTGGCAAGCCGCTGATCATTCCCATGCGGGCTGACTGCAGGTCAAGCAGACCACACCTCTCCACGGCGCCTCGGGACCTCGAGTCCATGCGCCAGTGCGCGAAGAAGCCCGAGCGCGTGTTCCACGACATTGATACCAAGAAGCTGCACACAGGCAACCCGCCACGACAGCCCTCGCCCTCATCGTCGTCGTCGCCGTCGCATTCATGATCATCGTCGTCGTCGCCGCCGCCGTCGCTCTCTCGAACTCCGTCGGGGAGCGGCAGAAAAAATGGGGAGGTGTTTGAAGTCTGGAGGCGTCCGGGGACCTCTGAAGTCCTCTGGGGGACGTCTGGAAACCACCGGAGGCCTCTGGAGGCCTCCAGGGAGCCCCAGATCTATGCACCGCTTGCGGAAAGACTGCTGCTGCTGCTGCTGATGCTGCTCTCTTCTTCTTCCTCCTCCCCCTCCTCCTCCTACTGCTCCTCCTCCTCCTCCTCCTCATCCTCCTCATCCTCATCCGCATCACTGCATCCTCACCCTCATCCTCATCCAGATCCTCATCCAGATCCTCATCCTTCCTCTCATCCTCCTGCACTTCCGCCTCATCCTCCTCCTCCTCCTCCTCCTCGTCCTCCTCGTCCTCTTCCTATCCCTCCTCCTCAGCAGCAGCAGCATCAGCATCAGCATCATCATCAGCAGCATCAACATCCTCAGCATCAGCACCATCAGCATCAGCCTCAACATCAGCATCACCATCATCATCACCATCAGGCTCCAGTGGTACGGGATGAGCCCCCCCGTCGTCCGATGTAGCCACTGACGCGGCCCTGCTGGGCAGTGACAGTGCCTGATCCTGCGCGGGAACCACTCGATGCAACAGAAACATCACCGTCGTCCCCGTATGCTCCTCCTCGTCATCGTCCGCCTCAATCTCCTCATCCTCCTCCTCCTCGTCCTCATCCTCCTCATCCTTCTCCTCATCCTCCTCGCTAGGCGACCGTCCTACGCAACAGAAATGTCACCACCTCCCTCCTATGCTCCTCCTCTCCGTCGTCCTCCGCCTCCTCCTCATCCTCATCCTCCTGCTCCTCCTCCTCCTCCAACTCCTCCTCCTCATCCTCATCCTCGCACCTGTTCCTCCACCTCCTCCTTTTCCTCCTCCTTCTCCTCCTACGCTGTCTTCCTCCTGCTCCTCGCTCCTACCTCTTCGTCCCCCTCCTCCTTCTCCTCCTCCTCCTCTTCCTCCTCCTCCACCTCATCCTCCTCCACCCCTCATCGCTCCTGGACCCTCGCTCCTCCTCAACCTCCTCCTCCTCCTCCTCTCCTCCTCCTCCTCCTCCTCGCTCCTCTCATCCTCATCCCTCATCCTCCTCCCCTGGCTCCTCGCTCCTCCCTCCTCGCCCCTCGGCCGTCGCTCCTCGTTCCTCCTCCTCCTCCTCCTCCTCCTCCTCCTCCTCCTCCTCCTCATCAGCAGCAGCAGCATCATCACCATCCTCATTTTTCCCTCCTCCGCCTCCTCTTGATCCTCATCATCATCCTCATCCTCATCCACATCTTCATCATCGTCCAGATCCTCATCATTCTCCCCATTCCCCTGCACCTCTGCCTCCTCGTCCTCATCGTCCTCCTCATCCCCATCATCATCCTCATCAGCATCAGCAACCCCATCATCAACATCATCATCAGCATCAGCAGCATCATCCTCTTTTTCCTCCTCTTCATATCCCTTCTCCTCAGCCGCAGCAGCATCAGCATCAGCATTCTTGACATCAGCACCATCAGCCTCAGCCTCAGCATCAGCATCACCATGATCATCACCAGCATCATCACCATCAGGCTCCAGTGGTACATACGGGATGACCCCCCCGTCGTCCGATGTAGCACTGACGCGGCCCTGCTGGGCAGTGACAGTGCCTGATCCTGCGCGGGAACCGCTCGACGCAACAGAAACACCACCGTCGTCCCGGTATGCTCCTCCTCCCCGTCAACGTCCGCCTCCACCTCCTCGTCCTTTTCCTCCTCGTCCCATTCCTCCTCCTCCTCCTCCTCCTCTTCCTCCTCCTCCTCCTCCTCCTCCTCATGCTCCGTCCCTCCGTCCTCATCATCCTCCTCATCCACATCGTCATCATCATCAGCAGCATCAGCATCATCATCAGCATGACCAATATCGCCAGCAGCAGCACCATCATCATCAGCATCACCAGCAGCATCAGCATCAGCGTCAGCAGCATCATCATCAACAGCAGCATCAGCATCATCACCATCAACATCATCAACACCATCGTCAGCAGCCGCATCGTCATCAGCAGCATCAGCATCAGCAGCAGCGTCATCATCAGCAACATCCGCATCATCATCAGCAACAGCATCATCATCGGCATAATCCTCAGCAGCAGCACCAGCAACATCATCATCATAATCAGCATCATAATCGTCATCACCATCACCAACAACAACTACAATCATAACAGCATCATCATCAACAACATCATCATCAACATCGTCAATATCATCATCATCATCATCCGTCTTCTCATCGCCCTGGCAAGGCGACCGTCCTACGCAACAAAAAGGTACCGTCGCCCTCATATGATCCTCCTCCCCAACATGTTCCGTCTCCTCTTCGTCCTTCTCCTCCTCCTCCTCGCTCATGTTCCTCCACATCCTCTTTCTCCTCTTCTTTCCCCACCCACGTGTTCCTCGTCCTCTTCCCCCCTCCTCCTCCTCCTTCTCCTCCTCCTCCTCCTTGTCATCCACCTCCCTCCTCCTCCTCGCTCATTGCCTCTCCCTCTTCTTCCTCCTCCTCCTCCTCCTCCTCCTCCTCCTCCTCCTCCCCGCCTCTGCTTCCTCCTCTCTTCGCCCTCCTCCTCCTCCTCCTCCCCTCCTCCTCCTCCTCCTTCCTCCCCCCTCGACCCCCTCATCCTCCTCCCCCCATCCCATCCTCCACCTACTCCTCGCTCACCGCCGTCGCTCTTCCTCAACCGCCTCCTCCTCCTCCTCCTCCCCATCATCATCATCAACCTTCTCCTCCTCATCATCCCGCCTCGCTCCTTGCTCATCGCCCCTCGTTCCTCGCCCCTCAGCAGTCGCTCCTCGTTCCGCCTCCTCCTCATCCGCCTCCTCCTGCTTCTCCTCCTCCTCCTCCTCGCTGCCTCTGCTCCTGCTCCCCCGCCTCCTCATCCTTCTCCTCCTCCCGCCTCGCGTATCGCTCCTCAGTCCTCGCTCCTCGCCATTCGGCCGTCGCTCCTCGATCCTCCTCGTCCTCGTTCGCCTCCTCCTCCATTTCCTCCTCCTCCGCCTCCTCCTCCGTCTCCTCAATTCCTCTCCCTTCTGAATAACTCATCCCTGTCGTACCCCGAGGCCAGTCGGAAGGGCGGGTCGGGCACATAGCCTCAGACTTCTCTACCATCTATGAGCCTCAAGCTGAAAAGCTGGCAACGGTTTCACACATGCAGGGCGTGTCGCGTCCAACATGTGGTTATCGCCTCAGCGCCGCGCACATTGGTTCTAAAACGTTGCAAGAGCTTCACGGAGTGAGGGCGGTTCCTTTTCAAAACGTGGCGCTCGCCCTAATGCTGCGCGCTTAAAGCATGTAATCGGTTCACGGATTGAGGGCGGTTCCTTGTCAAGATGCGGTTATCGCCTGGGCACCGCGCACATTCGCTTTAAACAGTTGCAAGGGGTTCCTTGGTTCTCATGTTGGACGTATTTGACAATGGGTGCTGGCAGGATTTAGGATTGACGAGCCGCACCAGTTACGTTGATTCGTTGTGCCGAAGGCACAAGAACGGCGTTCTGGCACGATTTAAGATCGTCAAGTCGCAACAATCAGGTTGACCCGTGGCGATAAAGTTCTCAGCACGGTGTTTCGGCACGTTTCAGGATGTGTTCACACAGTTGTCCCCCAATGGGGCACTTCCCCAATGGAAATAAATGCTCGTACGGGCATATGAAGAGGGAGCTTGGAGGGAGGGTGTACTCAAACTTCCTTGATGAATTTTGGGTTTGCACTGGTCCTTCTTCTCCTCCTCCTCCTCCTCCTCCTCCTCCTCCTCCTCGCTCTGCGTCGAGCACAGAGAGCCTAAGAAGCCGCAGCGCGCATGGGAGAGTAGAGGGGAGCTGGCAGGGCAGCTGCCAAGGAGGCTGCTTCAAGGGAGACGGCGCACCAAGAGGTGGGGCCACGGCTCCCATCCAGGGCTTCAGCACATTTTACTGCAGCGCTCACGCTAGACGGGAACAATGAATGTGCATCGCAAGAGTCGCGACCCCAAGTCTCGGCACGGATGAAGGACCCCGCCACCACCGTCGGTTGGATA